ATAGAGTCAGGAAGGGGCATTTTTTTGGTTTGGGGTTTGGGTTTTTTTGTTTGGTTAGTTTTTTTAAGGTACTGCTCATCACTAACTCACTAAAGATATGCATTAGCCAAATGCAACATTGCTGCAAAGTCCTTAAAGATCACAATCTGATAGGGATAATTTTCTATTATATAAATGTCTGGTGTTTACAATATTTACTCATCAACTGAAAATTACTTTTGTGATTATCAAGTAAACTTTAAAAAAAAGATAATCAGTTCTGTTTTAAGGAAAAGTCCTTGGTTATTTTTCCCATACATTGCCTCAAGGACTACACCTCACATGTGCTTCTAAAACCCACTCTTAATAAGCCTACTTGAAAAAGCTGATGAGGAAGTCCCCCGAGATAAACAATCAGATATGAACAAATATCCAAATATTGTTTACCATTGCTAGTTTGAAGCATTGTGAGAACATTTTCCAATAGAAACTAACTAATTTTCAAATACGCTGAGATATCCTAAAGCACTTCTTGATGTGTTTCACTTCTTTCCAAAATTCTTGGAGACAGACTGTAGTTAACACCATCACAAGTGACAGCTCAGAGACGGCTACTATTAGCGGGACCAGCAATGATGCAATGTCCCATGATTTAGCTACATGTTTCTTATAAAATACCCTGCCACTGAATGTGTTCACTGATCACTGAGTATGATAACCAAAGGGCTTCCTTAGCTTTGGAATGCATATATGAAGCCAGCAAAAAAATAAAATTATTTAACTTATTTTTCTTTAAGACAAAGCTCTAATGTTAAATAAAAGCAATGGTACATATAAACTTATCGGTCCTTCCCTTAGTAGGCGTAACCAATAATAACATAAGTCATTCACAGTCTTTGCTACTCATTCAGTGTTTTCATTATTTATTATTTTTCCTTAAAATGTGTATTATAGAGAAAGCCCAAGTTTTCACTATTATTGCCACAGATTTTAAGACAAATACAACCCCTGATTTTTAGCCAAATGACAAGAAATAACCTGCCACAGATTTTAAGACAAATACAACCCCTGTTTTAGCCAAATGACAAGAAATAACTGTACATTTGGAGAGAACTTCGAAGGAAGCACGTGTGCCTCTGTAAATCAGTTTTCTAACAGGCCAGTTTCAAGTTTCTTTCCATCGTAACTCATGCTGTCAGTAGAAGATGATACCACATCTCTGGTATCGCTAAAGCTCTCAGAAGTTCTATCCAGAGGAGAGAATCACAGTAGATGGGATAAAATGGGGAAGACGACGAAACAGAAGAGTTCTTTATCACAGAAAGGTGAAAACCAAGGTGTAAGAGAAAGCAAATGAATCCTGACAAACAGGAGAGGATAAAGGTGCAACAGCTTATAAATCAGTAAGCTTAGATCACTGCATCACTAGTTTCATGTGTTTGCCATTCACATATTTTATAGCTAACAAATCAAGAAGGAATAAGGCGAATAGGCAATCACTAACTCTTGAGCTTTTTGGACTCAATTTAAGTATTTCAGTTTAAATATTTAAAGTTTCATAAAATGGGTCAGGGCCTTAGTTTCAATCAACCCTTCTTCCAGTTGTCTTTCTCATTGCTAAAAATCTTCCTCTAAAAATTAATTAAAAGACATCTCCTCTGTAGCAGGATATTTTATGTATGCCAAAAAACCCCTCCATTACTAAAGAATTTAGAGTCTGCAAAAGTAAGATCAAAGAAGCAATCAAGAACCTGGACGTAACACATTACGAAGAAGTTTTACAAGGCATGCAGTAATTCAACTTTGTAATTCAAAAGCTGAATTTCACTAACACATCGTCCTATAGTTGAAAAACAAATAGCAGGATTGACAAAATACCAAGTAGGTAAATTTCATTAACAAAATTAAGCCTCCTACATAAATTCCAGCACAGCCTTTTAGTATTATTTAAAAATTTTCCCCATAGCTTAAGTATTGAAAAGTTATTAAAACTGCTGTCTTGAATGAATGAGGCACTTGCTAAGACTGTGAGACTGACAGTAGGGATGCTATGACCCTCTTTGCATCCACAGTGTAGAACAGCATAAGCAATCTAGTATGGAATTTGACAGTACTATCTATTTTTAGTTTTACCATTAAGGACAGGATCAACTGCAATCAGAGATGATATTTGGAGGATTATTTTATGATTTAATAAAGGAAATGACACTTCTTTTTTCCTCTCCTTAGTTAATACCTGAGGGGGCGGGTGTGCGTGTGTGCATGAGAGAGAGAGGGAGAGAAAAATCACTGAGGATTACCATGATAACTGGTTAAAAGAGAGTTTACAAAAATAACATTAAAAACTTAGAAGCCAAAATAGCTTGGACAAATTTTTACTTCTCTTTTCAATCTTATGCACACTACTGTTAATAAATACAAATAGTACCCAAAATTTAACCACTACTGACTGCTCTTACTGCCATTATTTGCAGTTTCTCAGCTTATGCATTGACATCAAATTTTCAAACAGTAAACCCAGTTATTTCAGTATTAAATTGGTAGCTCCACCTAGTGTTGTTCATGACCTATTCCAACAGGAACTAAAAAGCAGAGAGCTAGTTGTAACACGTAGCTGTACACTACTGCTTGCTGCTTGGAAACGCAGTTCCTCATGCACCTTGCATGCAGAACTGACACCCACGTCCCCAAGCTTCAGTTTCACCAGCGCTGACTACAAATAGCTCTCACGGCCTTACACTTATAAAGCACGCCAAAATCTTGGATTTTTGGATTGCATTTTTGAAACAACAAAATACTGCTTTTAAAAATCTCAGGGAGACAAAAAAAACGGTGCCAGAAATCTTCTGGCAACTTACTTAGGGACACATTTTTATATCACTGGCTGCATAGAACTGCTATTACTGTGACAGACCCTTTCAGGCCTAGAAGTTCGTTCTCAGAAAGACTGTTCCTCCAGTACGGGCAGAGGAACAGCAGACGGCTCATCAGTTCCTATTAACTTGTCCTGGGGGATGGATATCTGTCTGGATAATGCTCCTATTTGGTACTGATGAAGCTTTTTGGAAAAAGGTATTAAACTGACTTGGGACTCAGTATCCTCAACCCAAGATGACTTTTGCTCTATCTTGATTGCAGCAACAGCTTAGCTTTAGTCGGGGTCGTGGCAGACCTGGAATGCAGACAGGACTGCCTCACCCCATGCAATACAGCAGTTATGTTGAGGGACTGGAGAAACACAGCAGAGGAAATTGTGAAATTTCAGAAGATATTTTAAAAGGGAAAGCTTACCTACATTGTTTCATTTGGATATACCTCCCCCCAAAAAAACCCCAACCAACTGGGTTGTGTGCATCTCAGATGATTGGGAAAAAAAAAAAAGAAAACATTAAGTTGTTTTAAGTGATATTCCCCCCGCCCCCCAAAAGGCATTGCCACAATGATCCACTTTTGTCACCTCAAGAACAGCTCGCTGACGTTTTCTTTAAAGTGGTTGCACCCTACAATCTGGAAACTTCACTTCATAGAAATTCATTGGCTTCTTTACGAAGGGTGCACCCCAATTCTTTAACACATCCCAGTTGGGATGCATTAATTCTGTACTGCGCACACTGTACATTCTTCCAATTTTACATCCAGTTGGAATTTTAGAAGCTTTGGTTTTGAATCATGAATCTCAAAATAAAGTGGAGTCTCAGAGTCCCGGAGAAGACCTCCTTCCCTATGCACAACCAGGGTGGCAGATGACCCCAATTTAAAAGACAGTGTGACAAAAGCATGGTAATTTTGGTGACCATTTTTCCCACAGACAATTATATTTCCCCCGAAGACAGCATTCACTGTATGTTATGTTGCACTGTTCATGTTTTTTTATCTTAGACACAGCTATAGACTGAAAAGGAAGGAAAAGAATTAGTTAGATGTTGTGGCATCTGTGCTATGAAGACATGCTGAGGATATCTACTTTTTCAAATAAATATTTACAGCAGTCTTAAGTGTGTCACAAACCCATTTCTACAACATGAAACAAACTGGTGATTAGTTCAACTGGAACTGTTAAACTTCTATTCACAACCGCAAAGTTAGGTAAGCAGAGATACTTACAAAGTATTGTCATTTCTGGAATGAAATATTGTGCAACCTATAATATGACTACTAAGTTTGCATGTAACACGAGTTTCATTAAAAAAGTAATTTTTTTCCATTTCTCATATGATTATTTGTACTCAGTTCACCAAAACAGCAGTTACAGTAACATTTAAATCTTAGAATAACTTGATCTAGTAATTCATTAAGAATGTTAAATCCACAAACTACAAGACACCCCTTTTTTTTTTTTCTTGCTAACACCAACCTGTGAACTTGTTTTTTAATTTTCTAAAAATCCTACTACTAAAGCTACCAGCAAGTAAGCAGATACAGCAGTTTTGAATGTTTCCTAATGGCTGAAGAGAATCAAAACTTTCTCCATACAATAACAGCTACTGGAACTGAAGCCTGGAAGTTCTTGTCACAGAAAAGCAAATCCTGTGCTGCTGTCCCTTAACACCATGTTCTCAATGGTGTCTTGTGTTTGGATTCAGATTCCGGAATCTGAAGAGTTCGCATCATTCTCCTTCAGGACCTGCTGATGCTACTGACTATATAATTAGTGATAACAGGTGGGTTTAGTGTCACAGAGTGAGAGAGCAAGCCTGGATCATGGAATCTAGTCTGCCCTGCTGTCTCAGGAACATACTCTGCAGGTCCTTCAAAGGTGTTGGACTTGGACTGACAGGTTGCTTTGTTTCAGAACTCACTCCTAAGAGCCAGAAGTCATCTTCAAATTTTGAGTCTCATTTCATTTAGGACCATTTAGTGTGACAGCACTATTTTTCATCTTAAGTAGCTTACAGTAAGTCAATTAATAAGCAATCTACATTTTGTTTTTAGTCATTATGCTTACAGATTTTTAAGCAGTTAACTTTATAAAATCTGAAAACAAATAAATAAGTAAATATTTAAACACAATGAATGCTTACCTGTAAGCATTGATGTAATCCTTTCTGTGTTGCAGAAGAAAATCTTTCAGCTTTCCAATATGAGAAATCTAGAGGAATAAAAATCATAATTAAACTTCTCTCAGATAACTGATTACTTTTACGTTTAAAGGTCAGAATTCCGCACTTCAAACATGAGTTAGTAAAATTATTTATTCAGTAATTAAACAGAATCATAAAATTTACTCTTTTATAGTAGAATTTTCACATATTACACTTTGCATTTTAAAAGTTTTTACAAAGATTCTTTGAAAAGATTAAAAAACTCCTAAAGAATCAGAAAGAACTTTTGCAAACTAGTCCAATTTAAAAGACTTGATGTAGCACAAGATGCTTCTTATTTTAGAGAATGGAGGAACTCAGGACTCTAGTTTAACTGGCCACAGAAATGAGATGACTACCAATATGACTTCCTTGGCAGGTCTTGAAGGAGACATGATGGGGGGAGGAAAAGGGAAGAGAATTATACACATTAGTGGTATATATTTTCAAGGGGGAGGCAGGGGGAACCTTTCTAAAGCATATTATCAAGTATTCATTAATAATTCAGTGTAAAAAAACATGCAAGGAATTTTACAAAACAATAGTTGGTTTAGTTGACAAATACAATAAATGCAGTTTACTCGTGTATCTGGGAAAAAGCATCAGAAGCTGTTCAAGTCTTAAAATCCTATTTTCATGCAAATGTTCCTTGTAATTAAACAAACAAAAAACCACAGAGAAAGAACACAGAATAGTTTGGATAAATAGAAGATTAATTCCCCCAATTATTTTTTCACAAGATCAGCAGCTCTGAAAAAAAAAGGGAAAAATTGTACTAAGACCGTAGTGATTTGCACAACTAAAAATGTTTCCTTGTGCAAATAGACATGCATACATTGCCCTATTATTATTTGCTCTGTTTGATTTTTACTACAACTCACGGTATTGGGCTAAAGTTTTCCCACTTTTCATGTTTAAAGTTTTCCATGTGATTAAGAGCACTGGAAATTTCATCCCATTCATAGCAAACTGAGTTCTGTTAGTACCTCCACTAGATCCAAAGTTTCCTTAAGTGTGTTAGCACCCTCATATGCAATAAGAAGGGAAATACTCAAATCAGTGCAAGATCAATAAGGTACAAAGAATAAGTTAAACCATTCTACAGATGTTACTTCTCATCACCACTGGAACTTAGTTTTTGTATACTAATCTCTTTCTCAGCGCAGACTCAGTATGTCATGAAATTTGCTGAATAGGTAAATTAAGCTTGACTATGAAAGCAAAACATTTGAAACAGTCATACAGTGTTTCGGTAGAACAATAATACTTAATAGGCAGAAAGAAAGTACTACAGAGGACAAAGAGTAGAAATATAACATAAGAAACACATTTCAAAACATTTACATTAATATGTGAACAAACACTAAACTAGAAAAGAGATTAGCAAAATTTTGTAAGTAATAAATCTTAATATTATTGCAAAAGCTACAATTTAGGAGTGATTAACAAGCAGAAAGAATCAGAATGACAAGCAAGAACACTGTCTTACAGTAATTAATTCATCTAGTCACAAAGAGCATTCTATTTAGGCTAAAATTGTCATCGTGTGTTTGAATTGCACTGACCCCACTTTGCCTCTCCTTCATTTGTAAAGCTATTTTCATGAATTTAGAATGACACCATTATGCCCATACTCGCATCAAGCTCTTGGTTCCCAAGATTTGCATCAGAAGTGAGACTTCTTGTTCTACTTTCCCTCAAAGTCTAACAGCATCTTCTGTGATCCTGCACTGCTGCTATTTCTCTTTTGCCTTTTCTTACCGTGTATTACTGGCATAGTTTTTAATTCAATTTGTCATTACCATATCAACAAAATTAAACAATTTTTACAAAAGAGGCCTCACTAGCATTAAAGGGAATGTGAATTTTATTTTTTTAAAAAAAAATTTTTTTTTTTTTGGTACAATGCTTAATCTTCTGCAGACACAAAATATCCCTGACTATCCAAATACAAATCTTGAAAATATCTCCAAGGTCATTAACCTACAATTATTCTGGGGTTATCAGAGGCACACCATACACTCTTTACAAAGTTATCAAGCTCCAGCATAAAGGTAATAAGGTATCTCCCTATTCAAACGGAAAGGCTTTATTAGAATCCTACAGCTCTTATTATGAATAAGAGCCATCAAATTTCCAGATTTACTGATTACCAACTTCTATCCACCTGTTCTTGCTTCAAAACAGTCCTTTCCCTTAAAGGCTCTGCTTCCCTGTGTGTATGTTTGAGTTTACCGTCAATAACCCTATTTCTCTCTAACGCCTGTAGCCCCAGACAAATGACCCCAAGCTTTTAGTTTCTTCTCACAAGATAGTTCTGAAGTTGCCTAACTCATAACTTTCCTTTGCATTTGCTCCAGTTTGTATCCATTCTTTTCCAACGCAGATGAGTAGAAGGACATTCACTGGTGTTAGTTAGTTTGTAAGTCTCACAGAAGCCACCCCTGTAGCCCCCCCCGCTACCAAAACCTTGCCACGCAAAACCAACACAGTCAGCTGGAAATATCTTTTCTATGATCGTTTTCATTGATTAGTTTCAAGCTTATTGTTTCCATCTCTAAATGTATATTCTGTTGAATTTCTTTCTTCTCCCAACTCCAGACCCCAGAGTCATTCACCACTTGCTGTAATGTATCATGATCTTCCCTCTCCTTCCTCTCAGCATTCCCTCACCAGTAAATTTTACCAATCCATCTTACTTTTCTCATTCCCCAAAATACAAACAGTACTAAAGAAGATGAGTTTTAAAATCAATCCCAGAGTAATTCCACTATTAACCTCTCTTCAGCCCAATGCTTCTTTCAGCAGAGAGGCATTGCTGCTTCTTACTCATCTTAGTTAATATTTTCTCTGCTAATCTCCTCTAGACTTCCTATTAGCGCTTTATCAGACTCTTTACCATCAGACACCAGGTCGTCTTAACGAAGGAAAAGCAGATTTTCTTAAAGCAACAAACGGATTGGGTACATCCTATTTTTAGTAAGACAGCAAATTATACTGCATTGTATCTTGTTTTCTATTTATCTTTTTCCCCTTAAAACGTTTTCTGAATCCTAGACCACCTCTGGGTCAGGCCCTGCTGATGCTATTACCAGTTTCCCTCTGCTGACTTAATTATAGACATTAAATTTGCTGCCCTCTGCTCAAATGGTACCATCTTCAGTTCAATGTATTTTCATTAAAAATAGGTGCCTTGAGAACCTGGGATTTCTCAAATCCACTGTGTCTGAACTCAATCCAGACATTATCTGATAACATGATTTGACTGCATTAAAGTTCTGAGATTTTGTACAAATTTCCAATTCCATGGTCTGGTTCCCAGTACATATCTTGCTTTCACCCTGCTGGTCCACGGCTTTTTCCTTATTAATTTAGTCTGGAGATCATGCCTAAACTATTCTTAATCTATACTCCAGCTGCATGACAAATCCACTTTTTTTGCTAATTCTTTTTATTTACATGGACAAAGAATATTTTACCTTTGAGGGGTTTTAATGCCATTAGTTAACTCATTGTGAATTTTGCCAAACTTGACTTTATCTCTACAAAGCCTTCCCTTCTGCAACAGTTTTCTTGGCCAGTCTCCCTCTCCCTCCCTTTTTACTGCCTCTGGGCTAATTTCTTGTATCTTCTCTAATGAATCTTGCAAGTAGAACTAGAACAATTTTAAATCCCATTTGCATTTCAGCATATCCATTTTTTGCACTCCATTTACCCATCCATCATACCTACAACTTCCTATTTGCTGTATATGCCTGTTTTCAAAACAATTATACCATCAGTCAATGTAGCCTTCAAAAGGATAGATGAACGCAATTTGAAGACGAAGCACAAACACATCTGAGTACTGGCCTCCTGTCATAGATCCCATTCTCTGCCTCTGGTAATTAGTGACCTTCTTCTCTGAAACTCTGGAACAGAGAAATAAGCCTCTCCTTCAAGCTTGAAATAATGAAATTATTTCCTTTTTTTCCCTGAAGGGACAGGAGGGCTTAGAGAAATGCCCTTCATAGTTGCAATACTCTTGCACTGCATTAAGACTGAACTTATCTTACAGGGAAGAACACTACTGAATTTCCAGATATAACTGACATTTTTATGAGAATCAGGGGAAAAAAAAAAATACATTTCCTCCCAATATTGCCAACATCAGTTATATCACTATACTAACAGCATGTTCTCAAGCTTCTGTTCACTACCAGAATACGGAGGGTTACGTTCTTTCTGACAACAAAGACTGCTTATGAAACTCCAAGCTCTCCCTCTTCTCTTTCCATTCCCACTGGCACTCCATTGAGGGTCTCTTGGGGGGGTTAAGAAAGCTTAAGACCAAATATAAAAAATTGGTTTCTTTCATTTCAGCTCCACCAATACTTGTATCAGCACAAGGGAGAGCAGAAGCTGGACAGCATCAGTAGGGCACTTCCTACAAGACTCATCTGCCATGAAAGGAGGTCTGTTTAGTTACAACTCAAGAAACTTCACATGATAACCTCCTAAGCTCAGGTACGAAAGCTGGAGACTCCAAGTGTTATTTAAAAACTCCCAAGTGTAGATCTGATCGTGAAAAATCAATTTATTCTGTACAGTGAAGCAGCAGCAGTTATCCACTGGGTGGCAACAAAAGTATCAACATCACACATGTAAAAAAACACTCTATATATTCACATTAAAGCCTGTAATGTAACTTTTTAAAAAGTTACTTCAGGTTCCAGTTTGCACTTTAAAAAATTGATCTTCATCATAAACTACCTCTTTAACACACATATCTGTGGTTTTTTGCCACTGTAGATTTTTTAAACAGCTCTTATTAAAACATAAAAGCAAATATTGCATATAATGCAGGTCCAACACAAAAGGAAGCTGTGAATGGCTGCCATCTGCTACCACAGGTGGCATGCACAGCTCTATTTATACTTGGGGCCTTCACTAGAAATGGTACGTGTTCTTCTATTTAGAGATTTTTCTTAAGATTTCAGAGCAGGCTATATTTTTAAATAAGAAGAGAAACAGGAAAGCATTCTCTCCAAAGCAGCATCTTCAAAAGATGCATATACTTTAGAACAAAGACACTGACTCCGCTTCCTTCAGTATCTTAGCAATACATACAACATTTCTTTCCACTCCAACAAAGAATTGATCACTCATGAAACAGTAGGTTCCAATTTGCATACGTTTAACCCACTGCAAGAAGCAGCAGCATTGTTTACGATTAAAATGATTGGAGTAGGTTCCCGTGACATATTGTAGGGAGAATTCGACAGCGCTGAATAGTCATTTTCATTGAACAAACATAGCATTTTATCAAGTTTACTCTTCCATCAGAATAATAAGCAACTATTTACTACCATATAGAATTGACTGTTATACTTTGCATTGTACTGCCACTCTGAATTTTTAAAAGATGTACTTTGTTAAAGGAAACTTTAAAAAACACTTAAACCCAAAACATAATGGAAAGGCTCTTGCAAAAGTCATGAGACACAGCATTTACTGTTGATTCAGCACCACTGACAAGCACTGCTGATGGAAGTGTCTTGTTAACCACACATAATAAAAGTTTTACATTTCATTTTTCAATATATCCAAAAAGCCTGATCATCAGATGTCTTACCTAAATAGATCCCATCTACAGATTCATGAAAAGGTGACTACATTCTACAATCCCCTCCGCAAACAGCAGAAAATGTAAGACTGTTATAATATTAATATCTAGACACCTATCATGTTTTCGATTCTAAACATGCAATCAACCCAGACTTACTCATTGCCTATTTCAGAAGAAATTAAGAATTTCAGTAAGACATTAGGTGAGGTACAGGGACCGCACGTTTCTGACCAAAAAAATACAGTCTCGGTACTAGGAGGAGATACAATAATTGGTGTAAAACATAAAGTTGTTTTTATTATGAAAAAAAATGTTTTCAATGTCAAAACCATATAAAAAAAGAGGAATTTTTTTACGGTTATTGCATGAAACAAAGGCAAGCATTTTCAGAAATCTGGAATAAACCCCAAACAGAATAGATACTATAAACAGAAACCCAATTTATATTAAATAAATTTCAAAAGTAAGAGCTTGGGCTCTTAACCTAAACTATTACAGTTGGGAAAGATTAGTTAGAAAAGTTTTGATGCAGAAATAACTCCTATGGAGAAGTTTTCCACTACAAACTACCTTTGATCAGATAAGAGTTGTGACCTTTTTAAAACTACAACACACGAAATGCCAGGTCCCACACAGTTTCCTTCTAGCTCATGTTTTAAGCACTGTCAGCCCACCGAATTCACACAGGCGCCTGCAAGATGGTGCCTAAGAACAGACAAGATTTTGGTTTTAAAATACTTTTACCTGGATTTTACATATCAGAAACTGCAACCTTCAAAAGACAAAATTATATAATTCCCCGATACAAAGATTAAACCAATTAAATTAAACCAAAGATTAAATTCAAGCTTCAGCTCTGATTTCAACACTGTGAAAACCGTTATTTAAAGGGGTTTGGATGGTGACGTACCAGTAGGCCATGAGGTGGTGCTGTCCTACCAGAATTCACTGCAGAGGAGCACTGGCTGCCTCCAAACACCAACCGCCCAGTTTTCAGCTGATTTGTCTCTTGAGGGGATCCATTTGGTTTAGGTTTCCCCAGCAAACGTGAAAGTTTCTAAAATGGGTCACGCAGATCAATTGCTCTCGTAATCTGAAACCCAAAAGAGCAAATAATATCTAAACTGTGGTGTGGGGGTGGCCCAAGGCTGGAAGCGGGTAGCAGGAAGCGAGAAGACAGCCAGCCTGGCTACCGCTAATCTCAGGAAAATTGTGACTTTGTTCAGTTTCTGCTTTACATCAGTACATATGGTACAGCAGCAGCAGCGGGCAGGGCAACATTTTAATTGCATTTTATTAGCAGTCTTGTATTCAGAGCAAAGGAATTAACCAAGAATGCGGATGTGTTGTATCAATAATAGTGTATGGTACAGGGCATAAGAACATTCAAAATTGAATTAATTGAATGAAAAGCCATGAAAATGAAGACTGAGGCATTTTGACTCTTCAAGATAAAGATAGTACAAAACTCTAAAAAGATTTTTAAAATAAGATGTGTAATATTATCAGTATTTTTCTAATTTAAAATAACAGAGTAGTAAAATTTTAAGGAATGACTGCACAAGTTTGCATTAGCCATTGTGGGATATCAGAAGATAAAACCTGTTTGCAGAATACCACAGGCAGTATTCGGTGATCATTAACAAACTGATTAAGAAACCTCTGAACTGCAGTAAGAGGCAAAGCCGATTACCTAACACCTGGTCTGGAGCAGAAAATGCTGCCTTTTGCCTAATATCAAACTGGCGTAAAACAAAAAAGGGGGGTAACACACAAAAGGGGGGTAA